ATCCTCTGATTTCTCATCCAACATACTGCTAAGTAATCTTGTGTGTATGTGTACCACCATTTGTGACTCACAGTATTAAACTGCAAAATTCTACCCTGCAGATCTGTGTGTATTGATATAATGTTTACTTGATAGCATGAAACTACACAACGGGTGCCATCGCAGCCAAAAATAGGTGCCCTGATAGGAGGCATCGCACTTCTAACATTACTAACACAGGCACACGGCGACCAAATCAGAGGAGAGCTTTCCTGTGCCTGTGAAAGAGGATCCGATAACAACACAGCTCCCCTTCTTGCTTCTGAATTCGAAGCAATAGTGACAAGGATATTGCAGCTGAAAGAATCTGATTCTGTCTGGTAAGCTGGCCAGAACTGTTTCTGGCTTGTTGCAAAAATATTTCTTTTTCTTGTCATAACTCCCAGGTGCTACTGCTGAGTAAATGGGAACATCATTGCCAGACATACTTGAAAAGAACCAAAAAAATGGATTCAGACAATCTCTGTGCTCCTGTCATTGATAGAGACACAACTGGACCGGGGTAGGACTAGGGTCATAGCAAGGTTAAAAGAAAAACACCCAGAAATTCTGCCTTGTCATCAGCTTTTCAAACTATCTACTGTTGGTTACTGCGAGCAATATGTAAGTTTTCATTAGATACCAAGCGACACTTAGGAGTATTTACAAGTTGGCCTTGTATTTTTTCCAAGAGATGGCTACTTTTGCAAAGGGAAAACACTTAAAATATGAAGTTCAGGTGGTTAGTACCTCTATGACACATGAGGACTTCTTGATAACATGGGATGATAAGCCTATCCATTACCAACAATTGTGTGAGTTGTGTGTGAAACTGAGGAAAAAGACTCTCCTCCCAAGAAAACTAATTTAGGCTGATATTAATTATCTTACTAAAAAACAACTTATTCTTACAAAACAAATGTGATCAAGAGATCAATTACTATCACAAGGCAAAGACCATCCACAAATAATACAGAAAATCATTTCAATAAAGAAATATATGGTACAGAAATGAAAGTCACTGAATGCATTATGTCCATACTGTGGCAGAATCCTAAACAATAAACAAATTAAGAAATATAAGCAGATTCAAAGCAACAATGGTATATATAAGATTCAAGGACCAATACTGCTAAACAATACCTTAACTAAATAATTTTCCTCAATATGATAAGTAGGATTATTTCTAAAATTCCTTTAAACAGGATTTCTTGTGCACAAAAGTTCAAGATTTCATACTTTCTTGAATGTTATTTATCAATATTTAGTCATAAACACAGCTGTGAGGACACACATCAGCTACCAGAATATCTCTTAAGAGTTAAATATATTTCCTTTTGTTGATCAATGAAAGAAAAAAAGTCCTGGAGCAGAACTAAGAGGAGAAAAAATTATATACTTGCTAATGAGACAAGTGTACATGTATTAAGATTTTATGTAACAGCTGAGAAACTTTAAAAATCTGCTGATGATCTGAATTTCTAATCTTTGGCAAAATAGAACATGTGGAAAAAAAACCAAAAACTTTTTTTGGCTTGTGCCTAATACAATCAAAGCATTAAAAAATAAAGAAAAGGTAACCAATGACAATATGTCAGGCCTTAATGGAAACAGTTCACAAACAATAAGTTCAAGGACATATATAACTCCACAAGCAACACTACCGGTATTCTCCAATGCAGATTCTGAAGAGACCAGATTGCTTTTCATGTTTTCAAATTTCCTGCACACATTTCCTGCATGCAGTTTTTAGAAGTTCACTGTGAGTCCTCTAAAGGTTTCTTTATCATTTAATATTATAAATAATTATGTTCCTAGGAGGCAGTTCAAAGCTCAGTACAGCACTCGTACAATACCCCAGGCAGGTCAGGTGACCTTTCTCCAATTCTCCTTTCTCTGGTGTTGAGGACAGACAAAGTGATATGTCTGTCATACGCCATTACCATTAGAACAGAATCTTGTTCTTTTATTACAACTGAACTCCGCCAGATTTCTCAGCAGGAATGCTAAGTGAAATCAATGTCTTGGATTTCCAGGCTGAGCTTGGAGGTCACAGCCACTCTATCATTTCTCAGCATTATCCTTTCTCGCGCGCGCACACACTCCCCAAGCCTCCAACTGGCACACAGCAGATTGAAAACAGCATGCATCAGAGGACTCATGCTGTACAATTTTACAGTCTTTTGGAGCCCCCTCCTTTTGATTCCCCCCTTCCGTTTTTTTGCAAATTGCAAATAAGTTTTGTTTGTGTCCTTCTCTAGAGTTATGAGTCAAAGGCAAAGGCACACCTAGGAAGAAGGGCAGGCGATAAAACCCAGGGAACATGGCTGAGTTTTGACAGCTGCCAATAAGATCGTTTTCTTTACATCATCACACGGATGGGCCTTATGATTCCATTGTTTCAAACAATAAATGTAGTTTCAAGGTAAACCATCAATCTGGTTTATGCCAGGTAGGTATGGAGACAGCACGCACACAGCCCTTTTATAAAATAACTCTATGACAGCAATAGAGACATGAAAATTCATTAATAAAGGACCCAGAAAATGCGCCCAGGATACTAAGAATTAATTGTATCAAATATAAATATTATAGTAAATGACAGCCATTATGTATACATAAAATAACTTTGTGAAGTCAAAATATTTATTACACTATGTATAAATGTCCATTCCAGGTTGTAAGACACTAAATTCATGCTTCTTTGTTTACTACTGGTTTTATTGTTTTGCCTATGTTCTTCCTTAAAATGACAATAGTAATAGTCATTGGTCTGGTTGTTTTTAACCCACTGAACTTTACTGCTGAGCTAAAACACCAACACATTTAAACCATCTTTTCTGACAATAAGAGTAGTTGTAGACAGCATACTGGAGGGCCCTGAGCCAAGGAAGGACACATTTTCATTAAATTATTGTTGTTACTTAAAAAGGAGCCCTTTGTCCATCAAATTTTTATGTATTTTATAATAATTGCAGATGGAAGGATATACAACATCCATAGTTTTATTAAACTTCATATGACAGAAAATTCATGAGGGCTAATTTTCAAACAGTAACTGAACTTTAAATATAAATATATTTGTTAAATTATATATAATCATAGCTAAAGAAACACAGTCCAGTTTTTCACTAGTACTAAATAAACAGAGGTACATGAAAATGTGGCAGAATTCTAATATCACTTAAATAATCAGTCTTTGTACCTCGTCTATGGGGTTCTATGAATGTTTAGAACCATAATGTTTAGTCCATAGAGCAGTGTCCCAACCTTGGCAAAGCAAACCTTTAGTTATTTTGACATTTGCCATGGATACCTAAGAGTGTATCACTGTAGCAACTGCTCCATAAATATCTGAATGGATGAATGAAGGAACGAATGGATACATAAATGAATGAGGTTAACTAACATCACAAGCTTCATGATTAAGTGATTTGGGAAGAAGGCACTAATGATAATTTTTTTAAAAAGATAAATAAATAATAAAATGAAATGTGCTAATGTAAAGCATCATTATAAAGCGTGAGGTAAAATCACATTAATAAATCAAGGAAATAAACAAAGAACAATCCCTCACAGAGTTATGTGTATGTGACAATGATTATGCCGCTACAGCTATTTATCTTACTCAAAGTTAGTCTGTATATGTAATATATTAAAACTGCTGGTCCATGGAGACAACAAAATTAAATCAAAATTTTAATGCTTTAAAATCAAATTTTAATAAATAAATTTTATAATTATTACCAAGTATTAAAAATGTATATTCTGCTATCATTATAAAGAAAAGCAGAGCAGGCCTTAGGTATACATTTAGCACAGAACATGCGAGGTTCATTATACAGCTGAAAGAGATCTTAGAAATGGTACATGTATATTTCCTAATGTCACAGTAGTGTGTGCAATATTCCGCACTATGTATTTGCCCATATTGCTGGTGAATCATGTTCTAAGGTCCTTGTCCAGGTTAAGTTATACTCCCAAATACATTTATCTCTTAATAACACGGCAAAGGACTTTGGAGTTTTGAGAAGGTAAAGACTGGGGTGCACTTTCCCAACTGATTCTCTTTCCCAATTTCCTCTCTGGATTAATACAGTAACTGTGAAAAGTGTCTGTCAAGGCACAAGAGGATTTAAACAATTCTTGGATTTTTTTTCTCTTGCAATACTTTCTAATTTTTTTCTCTGTGTAGTTTTTCAACTATTGTGACTACTCTTAAACTGTTACTCTTTAGACATTTGAGCATGGCGTGCATGAAATGAACAGAAGCAATTTTCTAAGTAATTTAGCATAAGGCAAAAACATTGTTATTTTGGGGGTCCATTAACTGGGTCAGTTTTCTGCTGAATAGTTTCTAATAGTCAGAAAATATGTGTGATTATTTCCCCGAGTAATCTCATGGAAAACTACTAATGGTTACTCTTCTTACTTCATTCATAGAAAGCTTAATATATTCATACATCATCATGTAAGATCTTCACAAACACAAAAAGTTTTCAATTAAGTTTTCTGCATCTCTTTTTTTCTAAGCCTAGAAACAAATTATTGCCCTGATCCTTTTCCATGTTCTCTCAGTAAATGTTTCTTTAGCTCGCCAAACAAAACTACTTTTAAACAGTCTTACTTCTAACACTGTTCTTATCTTCATATCTTTACAGGATAATCTCATTGGATGAATGCTATTTAAAATTATATCTATGCACCACATTGCAACGGTTATTGATATTTAAATCAAACATTTTCTGTATGCCCTAATCATACGCGTATTTTAAGTTCTATTTCAGTTGCCCTTTCTTTGGGAAACCCCTCCCAGGACTTCTTACCGAAGGTTATCCCTCTGTCTTAATAACATCCATTCTACTTTATCTATAAATCCTTATAAGACTGCATTGCTGGGACATAATAGATACTCAATAAATATCACCGAATGAAAAGTAAAAGTCTAAATGATAAGCTATGTAGCTTCTTCAAAAGGGTACCTTGCTTTTGGGCGGTGGGCTGTTTGTGCTCTTGTCTGTGTGAATGCTGGTAGGAGATACAGCAGCACCGAGGTTGCCTTGGGGTATGCCAGGGAGCTTTCCTCCTGGAGATACCTGCATGGCAGCTAGCTGGGCAGCATACAACTGCTACGGAAGAAAAAGAGAGAGGAAAAAACCAAAACTATCAGTAATAAAATAAACGATTCCCTCAGAAAGTACCTATATGCAGGTGTGGTATTTTTTTTTTCCTATGGGTATTTTTGGTTAGTGCCCTGGAATATAAGAAGCTGTCACTTCAACTTCCATGACTTACTGCTCAGGAGAAATGACAAATACCACATATAAGGAATTTCAGCTTCAGTATGTCAAGGGACTCTAGGCAAATAATAGTCATCCATATTTACTTTTTCCCAATGTCCATGGAAGGCAAGAATATCATTATATGGTTAAGACCTCTTTTTGTTCTATTTTAAATTTTACTCACTGCATTATAAAATAATACAATTTCATGTACAAAGTAATTTTCTTATTATCCATATTGTTTCAAGCCCTGTACTTTCTTTCTTTGACTTGTTAAAATGGGCACCTGTAACAATTTTTTTTTCTGATTTTAGTTGTATAGAACAGCAATTGAGAGGGAATAGAAGGAGAGTATTTGAAAAGCATTATGTGGTCAGTCTACCTACATTTATAAAAATTAATTGGATGCTTGCCAGAACTCCACTTTACTTCATGATATATAAATACAGACAAACGTGAAATTATCTGGAGGATTAGGATTTTAAGGAATACTGTCTAAAATACTCTTTTACTAAGCCATCACATAATAATTCTTATTAAATAACCAGTAAAATATTCTTCAAGTCAATTTAGCAACAAAGGAAATTTTTTTTTTACAATAGCTGTATCTTATAGTATCTTAGAACAAGGAGGTTGTTTTAGATTCAAATATTCACATCAAACATTTAGATTAATACGCTTTTCATCTTCATTTAGCAGTTTTTGAAACTTTTAAAATCTGGATGGGAGAGCAATTATTATTTATAAGTGTGTGTGTGTGTGTGTGTGTGTGTGTGTGTGTGT